TGCTTGAGCCCAGAAGTTTGAGGTTGCTGTGCGCGAGGCTGACGCCACGGCACTCACTCAAGCCAGGGCAACAAAAGCGAGACTCTCAAAAAAAAAAGAAATAAAACAAGGACAAACAACTATGCCAAATAGAAGTGAAAATGTCCACGGAGGTGCCTATGGGAGTTAGCGGAAAAAGGCAGCTCCCATGAGAAAAGAAATGGTAAAGACGATTGTTAAGGATCACAATAATCAGAACCCATACAATCCAGGCTGGGCGTGGTGGCTCACGCCTGTAATCCTAGCACTCTAGGAGGCCGATGGGTGGATCGCTCAAGGTCAGGAGTTTGAAACCAGCCTGAACAAGAGCCAGACCCCATCTCTACTAAAAAATAGAAACAAATGCTCTGGACAAGTAAAAATATATATACATATAGAAAAAATTAGCCGGGCATGGTGGCACATGCCTGTAGTCTCAGCTACTCGGGAGGCTGAGGCAGGAGGATCGCTTGAGCCCAGGAGTTTGAGGTTGCTGTGAGCTAGGCTGAGCCATGGCACTCTAGCCCAGGCAACAGAGCCAGACTCTGTCTCAAAAAAAAGAACCCATACAATCCTAACATAAAACTAACTTACTTTCTAAAAAAGAAAAATGAACAGTTACTCCCAAGTTTTTGTAACAGCTAAAAAGAATTAAAATCAGCTTGCTAAAAACCCACTATAAACATACCCAACTTTTGCTGTAGGGTAAATAAACACAGTAATTCAGTAAATTCAGAAGAAGGCTACTCTTTAAAAACATCACGTCTACAAAATATCACACAGATTTTGGACAGACCTTTGTCACACAGTGGAAAGGGGGAAAGACTAAGTGTCTGGTGATAACAGTTTTATTACCAGCTCACTCTGTGTGTAATGGAGGAAGTCAACCTTGCCTCTATTTTCCCCTTACTATAAAGCGTACAGCCTTCCATTCATGACAGACCAAAAGTGAAAACAAATGGACTAATGTAGGTCTGCAAAACTTTCCCAAAGTCTCAGATTTTTGTAACCACAGACCTACAGGGAGAATATTACCAGTAATTACACTCACTAGGCCACAAGTACTGAAATAGGGGCAATATTAGTACCCAATCCCCAACAATGTTACGGTGAAGTTTCCTTTATACTAGCGACAAGAGCAAGCATTAGAATGCCCAGTGCCTTAGTCACAACTCTTTCAGACGCTGCTCCCTGGGGCTGGGCTGGGAATCCCTGCAAACTCAGGTCACCTAAAGTGAGAGAACCAAATTTTAAAAAAGGGAGCAGGGAAGGGAGTCCACGAAGTTCTCCAAGTGAGAACTGCAGAGTACGTCTCGGTTTCGTAAATGACACAGGGGCTCGGTCCCAGGGGGCGGAGGTCTTGGGCGGTGCCACCCAACACCTGCCTCCCTCCGGCGACCCACCCGGCCTCAGCTGACTTGGGCGTGGACGCAGAGGTCAGGGTCCTGGCGCGAGCTGCGCCTGTGGCGCTGCGCTCGCAAGAGTAGAAGAGAAAGTGCAGTAGGACAGAGCTCGAGGCCAGCCCTGGCCACCGCCCTCCTGGGACCTCCCAGCCGCAGCCACCTGAGCCCCCAGGGAGGGGAGACATGGGGGAAGGGCAGGAGGGGCCCGGCGCGGCACTGCTTACCTTCTGGATGGAGGACTTGCCGCTGCGCCGGAGCCCCATAAGCAGAATCCTCGGCTTGGAGCTGTCAGCGCCCCCCGGGCCACAGCCGCCGCCGGCCCCCGCCCCAACCCCGCCGCCCGCCGCTGCCGCCTCCTCTTCCTCCTCCTCCACGCCGTAGCCGAAGTCCTTTGGAAACGAATCAGCCGCGCCGTAACTGCCGGCGAGGGGCGTCTCCTCCGCCCCGTACTGCAGGGACATGGTGCTGGAGCCGCCGCCGCCCGCACCCTGACAGGCCAGGCCAGGCCTAGCCAGGCCGCCGCCTCCCCACTCTGCCACCACCGCCGCCGCCGCCGCCGCCATCCGGCCCGCCCCCAGCACCCGGCTCTCATAGGCCCGGAGCCGAGTCCCAGCACCTCATTGGCCGCCCGAGCTGCCACTCGGGAGCAGCAGGGTAGGTGGTGCCCCGTCACGTGCCGGAATCACCTGACTCGTAGCCGCGGAGGGGGGAGGAGGAATCACGAGGAGGGCGGCCGGGCCGCGCCTCTCGCCCGGACTCCCGGCCCTCTGCCCTCCGCCCCAGCCCGCACGCACCTCTGTCCTGCCCAGCACGCGATGTGCTTCTCACTGCTCCCCTGCCTTCTTCCCTAGAGCGCCGAAATGGAAGATGCTTTCTGGGCATCTGGGGGAAGAATTGTTTTCCTCCTCCAATTGTACTCGTCCAACCAGTATTTACTGATGTCTTAGATGTCCTGGGTGCTTACCAAGGGGAACAAAACTGGAACCGACTCGAACCCTGAATGCCCTCAAGTTGCTTGAAGATTAACAGAGATCGGACTTCTGCGTAAGTAGCCTCGGTACGAGATATTATATGGGGAAGGTCATAGGCACAGATAAATAATGCCCGGGAGTTGGGAGGATGAGAAAATCTACAAACAGATCTAGATGGGTAGATATAGTTGGGATGTGCAAAGGTATGGAGGAGGAGCCAACCAGACTGAGGGGAAAGCCTCAGCCAAGGCAGAGTCATGGGTCAGTGTTAGTTTGTTCTCGCAGGTAGCTGGATACTGATAGGAAAACTGATGCAGCCACGCTAGAACATTTTATCTTCTTTCTTTAGCAAATTGCTGATAGTAGATACTGCTGCCACTTCAAACTCAACAGGACTCAGTTTCCCCTCTTTTCCACCTGGTCAAAGTCTACTTCTCCGGTAATTCCAACCCCCCACTCCCAAAAGAATATTGCATCTTCTGTGACTTCCTTCAGTTTAGAAACCAAAGGAATGAATAATGAAAGTAAACCGAAGCAAATGCAAGTGCAGTGTGGTCTTGGTCTTTTTTGAGTATGAAGGGAATACACACTCATGCAGGTCTGGGACTTTGGTTATGTCTGCACCTAAAAGTTAAGGGTGGGACACCCTTAACCTTAGGTCATGTAGCCCAATCTCTCACTTAAATGAATCAACTCTGCAGTGTCTGTGACTGACGGACGTACAGAGTTCGCTGAAATAATTCCTAGGGAAGAGAGCTCACCATCTCAAAAGGCAGTCAATTCCACTATGGTAAAGATTTAAAATTTCTTATTCCAGCCAAAAAAATCACCCTCCCTGAAGCCTGTAATGGAACAAAATAGGAGTAGTCTTCATCTTTTTCATGACAGCACTTCAAATAAATTGCAGTCTTAATTACCCACTAAGTCTTCTCTGTTCCATGCTAAACATCCTCAGTTCCTTCAACCATTCCTTCTATGGTGCTGTTTAATGCAACTTTCTGTGATGATAAAAAATGTTCTATACCTGCACCGTTCAATTAATACGTAGCCACATGTGGATTGAGCACTTGAAATGTTGCTGGTGTGACTGAGGAACTGAATTTTTAATTGTTTTATTTTAATTGCCATATATGGCTAGTGGCTACCATATTGGACCAGCATAGCCCTATGTACTCAAAGCTCCTCTCCCTATTGGTCACTCTTCTTTAAGTGTATTCAAGCTTATCAACATCCATCGGATGTCTGGCATCTACCAAGCAACACTAACTGATACAGCTTTCTAGATGACTGTTTAGCACCTGAACAATATTTCCATTAATGCTTTCCAGAATACAATTTTTTTTTTAAGTATCCATAGGGTATAAGTGGTTCACATTGATAATCACTGGAATTAGTACTTTGTCAGCAATCTGAGAGCCTAAACTTGTAGAACTGCATGTTTTAACCAATATATAAGACTTGATACTTCAAGTTTTGGTTTGGGCCCAGCAGTTTGGGTACTCCAGGTTGTTAATCATTTTAAAGGTTGTTTTAATATAGTCTACCAACCAGCCCTTCATCTGGTCTGTATGTAGTCTTTTATGGTTTGCAAGGCACTTTTTTTACATCTATTATATTTAATTTGATCCTTACAACAACCTTGTGAGGTTGTGAAGTAAGCAAAATGTAAAATCTATATTTCATAGATACAGCAGCTGAAGCATAGCAGGAACTTAATTGATGGGCTCCATTTTCAGTTCCATTGAGCATCTTCTTATATACAGTCTTCACCCATGTCCTTGATAGAAATGTTGAAGGGGACCTTCAGAAGCCAGGCTGACCCTTAATTCTTAAATAGCACTAACTGGTACAGCAGTTTAAACAGATCAATTTTACCTAAAAGTGTGATTATCCAATTCACATGTTGCCATTCTGTCCAAAATGATGGTACAAGAGACAGTCACCTGACTTACTGACATAAATATTAATACTAGTCCCATTAGAAAAAAGCAATTTAGAGTTGGCTGCCAGAAAAAAATTTCTATTTGTCTACATCCACAAAGGGACTGTCATACCAGCTGCTTAAAGAAGCCAAGTCTCCCTGTCTTCCAAAACCCACATGGGGCCATGCTTTATTATTCTTATGGTTCTTAGCACATCATAACCCACATTGTAATTGTTTATATACGTGTCCCAAGTTCAAATCATTCATCTTTATCACACCCAGCACTTAGCCCATTGTGTCCATGTAGGAAGCACGCAAATTGGTAAAAGAGAAATCTACCCAAATGTTCTTCCAGTAGTATCTGCCCCCCACCCCGCCAAAAACAAATTTGTGACTAGAAGAGACACAGACTACTGCCACATTCTTGCTAACATGACTAAAATGCCCTTATAATTGGCTTGGTCACAGTCTCCAGATGCCAAGGCTTTTGCTAGTTAAGCCAGTTTTCATTGGACCATTTTGTTTTCTATGTGTGTTTTGACCAAAAAATAAAGATAGGTTCTCCAACAATAGGCATAGAATACATGAAATAGGAATACTTCTTTAAAATGTCAGTGAGGAAAGTGAGAAATCAGTAAACCAAAACGTCTGACTATAGGTCTTCCAAGAGAAAGGAAAAAGGACTAACAAACAAGAATATAGTGCTTTACCATTTACAAATCTTTCACATACATTCTCCTTTGACCCTCACAACAACCCTGTGAGGTAGGCAGCACAGATATTCTTCTCATTTAACAGATGAGGAAGGTGAATCTCAGAGCAGTTAACTGATATGCCCAAGGCTCTACAGTTACTGAATAAACTGTATTATCATCAGTCTTTGGCCTAAAAATTCAGCACCCAACATCCCTTCATACTTGCCCTACCTACTTCACAGGGATAATGAAGATAAGATGAATTCAAGGCTAGAAAAAATACTTTGAGGGGAAAAAAGCACTATATATTATAATTATACCCACAGACTATAATTTTCCACAATATATGGCTCATTCCCCTTCTCATCCCAGCTTGTGCATGAACCCAGAATTTTATATTGCCTCAATTCTGTGCTCAACTAAGTAAGGCAGGGAAATAGTATTATCCTGTTTAAAATTATATAAATTACAATCAGGGTAACTGCTGTTATTAAGCAAATAGAAAATCAGCACAGAAAGGCCAATGTGCAACTAGGACTCACTAAGCACAGAGCAAAGCAAGGCAAGATTATCAAGGCATGATTGCATAGAAGGAAAATGTGGTGTCACAGTCTAAACTGGCACACACACAGTTATCTAAGGCAAAGTGGTGGCAAAGAAGTTACTTGTTCTGCATTATATAAACAAAAGCAGAAGATTCATGGGAACCCGTGCAAAAGCATCTTATGTCACACAGATCTCTCCAGCTGTCTACAGGGAATACAAACAACAGTGTCATCTTCATTTTAAAGAATGACTGTACCTGTGTTCATATCCTGAACTACACCAAGGAATAGCTCCATGGTGAACTTCCTTGGCTAAAATACGACCAGTACCATCATTCCTAATCAGACTATATTAACCAGAATGTCTTTAAGGTAGTGAATTAGATGGCTGTATTTTCTTCAGGAATTTACTTCGGATTCTCCTACTTTAAGACCCAAAGAAAGTTATATTGAGTTTTTATTGGTGATTCTAAGTATATGTGTTTATAACAATTAGAGTGTGATAGGTGAAATTTAACATATTAAAAGAGTTCTATAGCATCTTTTCAGAAAAGATTGTATACTATACAAACTATTCAAGTCATACAAAACCATTTTTCAGTGTCTTTTCAACTGAGAAGAATCCTATTCAGCACGCTTCTCCTCCTGAGGTGGTTCATACTGAGCAAGCTATGGGGCAAAGACAGAGGAGTTTAGGTGAATTTTATTCTAAATTGGGTAAAAAACAGTAACAAAATGAATTAACTATTACGTTCAATTTAGTTACTGAATCAGTAAGTTTATATTAATATCAGTCTCTGTAACCATTTTACACCAGTAATTTAAGATTTAATACAATCAAACCTATTAAAAGACTTTTTCATATAAACCTTTAAAAATACTGGGAAACTAAAATTTCATTCCAATTCATGACTGTACTGTCAAAATACTTGACATGCAATAATCTATATCTTCCCAAAGATGCTGTGGCTTATAAGAAACTTTCTTCCTCTCCACCAAAAGTTTACTGAAATTCCCCCTAAAAAGTAGACAGTTATGTGACATGTATTAATCTAGCCAGTCAACAAAGAATAACTAAAGTCTTTGACCTAAAAGGTGCCAAAGAGTTAACTAGCATTGTCACATTGTAGATTCTTGAATAATTTAAGATACTGCATTTTCTTTTATGCTAAGTTGTGGTTCCTTGCGAGAACACTAGGCTAAGATGGGTTCTTCCAATTAGCTGTTGGATTTGAGAAACTTATTAGATCTCACTGTGCTTTAGTTTCCTCGCCTATGAAATGGCATATGTACTTGTTTCATTTATCTCACAAAGTTGTTGTGACAATATGAGAAATACTTAGAGTAATGTAAAATGCATTATGTGATCTCAAAGACTTAGAGTTCACTAATTTGAAGCTCACGAAAATCCTCATGGGGGTTTGAAGAGGGAAAAAAAATTTCAGCAGTAGACAAAATTAAGTGCAATTTACAGAGGTAAATTTGTTAATCCAGGGCCACCACATAAGACCATGTAGATTTTGAACTCACAACTCTTAAGAGGTGCCATTCATGAAGCAGTGGCCATACATTGACCTACTTAAATCAACTGCGTAAGAATCTCAGAACTATCCATTTACTTGTAAGCAGCAACCAATATTCCCATTTTTTTGTTGATGTAGGTTCCCAAGAACCTCTTCTTGACCACACTTTGCTTGTCCTATTTACAGTATGTCTTGTGGTTTTCTAGACAGGGCGTAAGTTTGGTCTTGCAATTAATTCAGATTGGTATTCACCATCCTCCCTCCCTTCCTGTCCATCTTAGTGGGGTTTTGATCACATAATTATTAAAAGTAAAATTATTTTTAATATGAATTCTTTTTTAAAAATTTACCTTTGTTTTCAGTTTTTTATTTTCTTCTACAATAGCTTCATATTTTTCTTTCATTTCTGCCAATTCTAGACGAAGCAGCTCTATTTCTGGATTTTCTGGGGTAGCAGCTCCTAAGTGATGCTTTAAAAAACTATTATCATTGTTAAGAATTTACTTCTTAGAGCTGAATGAAACTAATGAAATAGCCCAGAGTAGCATCAATATCCCTGTCCAGAGTCACCCACCCTACCACCAATGTTTACCCAGAAATCACCATCCAAAAACTCAAAGTAACTTTCTCAATAAGAAAAAGTAATTTAAAGGTTATTATCTATCTGAAAAAAAATAAGAGTTTCAAAAATAAGGCCTTTTTCTGACTTCAGAAATGAAAAGGATACTCCAAAGCACTATTAGGTTTCTCTGGTTCTTCATATAAGGCTACCAACACTGCAAATCAAAAAGCAGAGAAAGCAACAGTTAAAGTCTAAAACGTGAATGGCTGAAATCATATTCCATAACCTAGTAAATATTAGGTGCCAACTATATGCCAAGCACATTGTTAAGGCTGTCTGTACAATGGTGAACAAGACCGACAAGGTCCGTCCTCTCAGTGAATTTACGGTCAAGTGCAAAAGATAAGCAAAGAACTAGACAAAGAAAGGGTATCAAGCAGTAATACTGGATAATGGGCTATGGGAGCACATTGGAAGAACACCTAATTCAGCCTAGAACATCAGGGATGGCTTCCTAAAGGAAGGGAAAGACTTGGGACATAGGCAATGAATGTTTCAGATAAAATGGGAAGGACCAGGAGCAAGAAAACAACATACTGAGGAACTGAAAATTCAAGTATGGCTGGATGGAGTTGTGAGTAATGTGGCAGCAAAGGAAGCAGGAATGGTAATCGGGGCCAGATTATGGAGGGTCATGCAAGTTTGGCTGGACTTTGATCCTAGAAACAAGTATGTAATTAAACAGTTTTAAGGAGGGGAGTGACTTCACTGGCTCACTCTTCACTGCTGTGTGGAAGACCAACTGGAGTGAGACAAGGATAAAGGAAGTAAGAGCTGATGTGGTACTCCAGTTAAAAAAGACAGCAACCTACACTAGAGTGATAGAGGAGTAGGAAGAAAGAAATCTGAGAAAAATTTAGGAGAGAATCAATAGGGCTGTAATTACTGGAAGTGGCTTTGAATTCAAAATGTTCTTCAAGAATGAAGTTTCATACACAACATGCTAAATAACCACTAACCAAAAACTACCAGTAATCATGTTCAAATCAACATTAAAATATATACTTTAGTGGTTTCATACACAGTAGCTCCTATGAGAACCACCTTGTTCATCTTCTCTTTAAAAAATCCCTCCTAGGATCGCTTGAGCCCAGGAGTTTGAGGTTGCTGTGAGCTAGGCTGACACCACGGCACTCTAGCCAGGGCAACACAGTGAGACTCTGTCTCAAAAAAAAAAAAAAAAAAATCCCTCCTAGAACTTACTCCTCAGATAAAAATATCTCTAAACCAGTGGTTAACCTTTTTGTGCATGGAACCCTTTGAAAAATCTGATACAAGCAAAAAAATAAATGTAACCACACACAAAAAACTTTTAACAATTTACATTGAGTTCTGATAGTTACTCTTCATCTCTCTAAATACACTTACAGCACTATTTTTTGAGAAATTGGTATGTATATACCACTACCCTCTCCTCCTCTCTCCTTTCAATATGATACAGAACTTTAATCCTTCTCTTTATTACCTTTTTCTTTAAATTTTATGCTCAAATCTCCATTTCTTCTTCCATTAATTTCCACTGATCTCTATTGAATCCTAATTTTATAAGACATAGGTACTAATACTCTTACCCTTTCCTTCCCTTCCCCCTCCCCAGTTCTTTCACTTTCTAAATTTCTGTCAGTGGTACTTACAAGGTTGATGATTGCAGAACATAATGTAAATGCTAAATTTCCTTTGCTTTTCTATAGATGAAATACACTTCCTTTTAGTCAGACAAGAACTCTATACCCAGTCATGTTCCCTTTTTTGCCTTAGCAGCCAGGATCTTTAGAGATTGTTATAGTGCTCAAAATAGCTAAAACACTGTTTCTTCCAAATGATATATCATCTTTATCTTTAAGCATCCTCTTAGAGTGTTTTAATGTTACAGTCCTCTTGGAAATAAGCTGGATAAAAAACATAAATTTGTGTAAAGTACGTTTGAAGTTGAAAATCAAATTTTAAATAAATCATATCAATAGATACTGTGTTAAATTGTCTGATGTTATTTAGGAGCCTAGAAATCTAAGGAGATTGAGGGATTAGATTCCAGTTTATGTGAGCAAAGGAAAGAAAGCCTCCAGAAGTTTCCAGTCTTTTATGAAGGAAAATCCTTATATGGCCACAAGGCTGTACATCTTTCTGTAGTCAGTTACCTCCTACAACTGTCACTTTTCTGCCTTTTACCATTCTATCTTCCACTCAATCCATCCAGCCATGTTGGCCTCATTATACTTCCTGGGAACACTTGACATGGTCTCTGCTCAAAAGTTACTTAAGAAAGGCCTTCCCCCAACACGCCATATTTTTGGCACGCAAATCCTTCACGTCCCTCTTTATCCCCTAACCGTGCTATGTTTTTATTCACAATGCTTATCACTAGCTGACACTATGTATTTGTTTGTTATGTCTCCCCCAACTAGACTATAAGCTCATAAGAGCAGAGCGTTTTTCCCCCCACTGCTGTATCCTCAGCGTCTAGAACAGAGACCTGAATAAAATGGCTAAGTGAAAGAAATGAACTTGTGGAGTTTTTAGAGGGGATGACATTCCAAGCATCTGTGATACTTCCAGTGACAACACAGCCCATTTCTTTCAGAGTAGTCCCTTACTACTTGCTTAAATTTGTTTGCAAACTGATAGAAAACTAGTATCTGAACCCAAAGTACACAGCAATTCACAATTACTGGTCGATGCATCGGAATTAAAAGCCTGCTTTCTGCTTAGACCCCAGAGTTGTTATTCTCCCCAACTTTCCCCTAATCTTTACTTTTGTCCAAAGAGAGTCATCAAATTATTCCCCACACACTTCCTATTGTCATATGATCCAGGTCCTCGTCCCGGCCATCAATTCCATTCTACACCTTTGAATATCCCAGCAAGTGAGTTGAGTGACACAGAGCATGCATTCAGATTACTGCTAAAGTAATGAAGTAAACTGTACCCTACCTCTTGGAATCGTCATGTTTCACGCACTTTACTCATCTACTTAGATCTTAAAGCCACGAAGGAAGGTACAGTGTAACAGTAAACTATCATTTTAAAAAGTGAAAACAATGTAACCATTGTGATGTGCCCTCAAGCTCTTTAAACTAATTCTATTTGAATTATGAAATCTACACAAAGTAGGAATTGATATAGCAAAAACCGTAAGGCAGGAGGAATTGGGATCTCAAGGTCTTTAGCAAACATGTCCACTGCGGCTGCTCAAGGCAAAGCAACGGAAGTTGGAGAGACTTTGCAACAGCTGCAAGAGTTTCACTCCCAGCGCGGTGAGTGGTAGCCTGAGCTAGGCTACCCCACCCGGGCAGCGTCCAGCAGCCAGCGTGCGCCGGTCCCCACCGAACCCCAAGGCCCACCTGGCTGGACCCCGGATAGGTCCCACCTGTTTCCCCCTCTTTTCGTACGCCGTCGGGGGCGCAGCACCGAGGAGCAAGACGAGGTTACCAGGAACCTTTCCTAGCCCATGCTCACCCTTGGTCAGCGTGTCCAGTACCCCCGACTTCTCCAAGTACCTCCGGAACTGCTCACGCTTCGAGTCGGCGGCCTGAGGAGATACCGTGGGTCAGTGCCCAAAGCCGGGGGCCGGAGCAGGAAGAAGACTGGGAGTCCGGCAACCCCACCTCCGCCTCGCTACCTCGGGCCCCCCCAAACCTACGCGCGCGCCCCAACTCCCACCCGGAGCCTCCCAGCGGCTGGCTATCGCCCGCACGCCCCCAGCCACGCCGCGCCCCCCTCACTTTGTAATGGGCCATAGTGACAGCGGCAGCGGCGTAGCTGGCGCCGGAGTCGGTGACTGGCGGGCTCGGAGCAGCAGTGCTCATGCGCGGAAGGGACCGCACGCCTGCGCACTTGCGAACCACGGGCCCGCATCGCCGGGGTGTGGCCTGTTTTCATAGCGACCAGGACGCTCTGAATCCCCCGTAGTGGGCTGAGCCGATGGAGACTGCGTGCGCCCGCCCCTCCGGCTGTCGGAGCTGCACCTCTTCTTCCTCTTCCGGTGCGCGCGGCAGTTCTGTTGCTTAGCGAAAGGCGAGGTTTGCGAAACTCGGTACAAGTGTCCAGGTGGGGACAGAGGTGGGCACGGCGTCCGGAGGCGGGGCCCCGGAGCACTAGAACCTCTGCAGGGGGGAGGATCGCCAGACGGTGGTAGTGGGCGCATCTTTCTCAACTGGGACCTCGGAAGCTGTGGTGACCCATAAGTGCTGGGCTTCTTGGCTCTCATTCTGAAAAAAAGTGCGCATGCCTTTCCAGTGGCTTGGGAGAGTGTCGAGAATCGCATGTTTTGGCTCCAGCTTTTTTACTTTTGGAGTTTCCTTGACTTGTGACTGATTAGATGTAGGCCTCTGAAGGGTGAGGAGTAATGTGCTCGCCAGTAACTAGCACTTTTGAGCACTTAATGTGCGCCAGGCACTGTAGTAAACGTGGGTATTTTTCATTTTAATCCTCACAGCATCCCTGTGTGGGATAGGTACTGTTAGTAAAGTGGCGAGATTAGATGACCAGTGAGTAGTAGAGCCCAAGACTCCAGTCCGGCAGTGAATCACAATGCTATAAACTGGTGAAAGGAAGCCACAGATCTTTTTAAGATTTTATTTACTAGGCAAAAACATGATTATACTCGACACATCAGGTTGCAGGCTAGAAGGAAACTAAGTTATTAAGTTCCAGGGGCAAACAAAATTAACCCAGTGTCCAAAGATAAAGGATTAGTAACTAAAAGGAGGAATTATATAGATCAAGAACAATATCCTAAGGCTGTGGTCCCTTTAGAGAGAAAACCTGGTCAAACCATTTAGCCTAGATTCTGAACATAGGCTTTTCTCAAAATCAGTTTCACACATTCTGAAGGGAGCCATAAACTCTATGCCTTTGAACTTAGAGCTATTCCTTCACAATCCAGAATTAGAGCTGTTTTTCCCTTTCTGAAATGATGTTGCAGTTGTCTGTCTTAACAGCTGGTCTTTAGAGCTGCCCTTATCCATTTTGTCTGTGTTCCAACACTACTGGGCTATTTCTTTGATACCATAATATACAGAATATCTAAAAGCCAACAGCTGTTCAGATCTGAAGATCTGTGGGAACCCGCCTACCAATGAGGTTGTTCATCAGGGACACTATATGATTTGAAGAACAAACAGTAGGATTATTGCAGGTTCTGACAAACTCAGGCTCAAAGGATAACTCTCCCAAAGAATCAGGAGTGTTCGGAATGTCAAGTGATTGGGAGTCTCCTTGTGAAGGAGGAAGGGTTCTGATTGTGCCCTCTCTGAACTGGCCCTCAAGATTACCTTTAGAAGGTGACCCCCGGATTTCATCTTCTGTAGAGGGATCCCATGTAGCCCTAATCCACCTTGGTTTCCAAGTGCAGTTAGCTGACAGTGAGAAAGCTGTTTGGGGCGACTGCCCCATGTGGTTGTCCAGATCTGTAGCAACACCTGGTATAGAACAGTGACCTCTAGAGTTCTTTTTGCTGTCTTTGCCATCAATTTCTCTTTTTTCCCTTAACTGGTTACCATTAACTTCTTTTCCAAATATTTTATGAGTATCTTTGTTATTATTTGAGCCAATGTGTTGAAGATGACTACAGGAAGTACTAAGTGTGCAAATCTCATTGGAAAGTACAGTTTCCTGTTCATCCAAAATGCATTTCTCATCATTTACACTGTGATTGTCAGGATTTGCCTGAAATGCAGAAGATGAATTTAAACTAGGATACACAGCTGTGCGTGTTTGCTTTTCCGCGAAAAGATTATAATGGGGTGCAGAAGGGAGTTGCTTCAGTGAATTTGCAGATGTGTTCTGATATTTGGCTAGATTTTGTTTTGACTTGTTTGCATAGAATTCATTATGTTCATCCTTCAATTTATACTGTCCCCAAAGCCCTCTTTTAATCTTTTTAAAACCTAGGTGGAAAATTTCTAGAATGTTTAAAAAAAGTGAAATAGTGGCTATAGATTGCATAAATAATAGAAATATTGTCTTTTCTGTTGGTCTTGAGACAAAACAATCGATTATATTTGGACATGGGTGGCCATGGCATTTAAATAGAGGCTCTAAGTGAAATCCATATAAAAGGTACTGTCCGATCATGAACCCAACTTCAACCACAGAGCGAGTGAAAATGTGTATCACATAAGTGCAAAGCAATGTTCCTCTGAGTGGTGCTTTATTTAGTTTCCTTTTCTCTAGCTGACAAAGCTCTTGCTCCAATCTCCTCCGATCCCCAGCCATTTCAAACTCTACCCCTTCCAGTTCTCCTCTTAATTGAGCTTTCATCCTCTGCCTCTCTTCCTCTAGAACTCTCAGTCGGTACAAAGCATGGCCCATGTAGACCAGGGATGGTGAAGACACAAATATCACCTGCAGAACCCAGTATCTAATGAGGGAGATGGGAAAGGCCTGGTCATAGCATACATTTCTGCAGCCTGGTTGTTCAGTATTGCAGATGAAGCCAGACTGCTCATCGTTCCAGACATCTTCAGTTGCTACACCCAGAACAAGCATCCGAAATATGAACAGGATGGTGAGCCAGATCTTTCCAATCATGGTAGAGTGGATGTGAACTTCCTCCAGAGTATCTCCAAGGAGATTCCAGTTCCCCATGTTTATTTAGTCAGTATCTTAGCTCTGAACCCCATCACATAGGAGGCAGATAAATTCTTCCATTCTGAAGGGAGTGCTGTTTCTTTAAAGCAAACCTATGGCCAAAATATGAACAAAGCATCACTCTTTCCATGTGCTAGTTGCTTTACTTTTTCCCTAGATAGTGATAATCTGTTACCAAGAATGTATTTTAGATGTCAGGAACTTAAAATCACTGATGTTTAGACATCATAATACAGTGGGGAAAAAGTGATACCTGGAGGAGGAGGAGGAATGTATGTATTCTCTCTTAAGAATATAATTGGGCTGGGTGGGGTGGCTCACGCCTGTAGTCCTAGCACTCTGGGAGGCCAAGGTGGGAGGATCGCTTGAGGTCAGCAGTTCGAGACCAGCCTGAACAAGAGCAAGACCCCCATCTACTAAAAATAGAAAAATTAGCCGGGCATGGTGGTGTGCATCTGTAGTCCCAACTACTCGGGACAATGAGGCTTGAGCCCAGGAGTTTGAGGTTGCTGTAAGCTAGGCTGATGCCACAGCACTTTAGCCCAGGTGACAGAGCGAGACTCTGTCTCAGAAAAAAAAAAAAGAATAATTGGAGAGTTCCCTATCAGAGAGGAGTCTTTACTAAGCTGAAGTTTGCTGTTATTTTTTTTAACTGGGAACTTTTGGAGAAGTTTCTGAAACTACTGACTTCATCTTACAAATCGTATTTACTAAGATTATTTTATATAAAAGCTTTAACCAAAGTCAATGATTTTTAAATCTCATGTATACACAAAGGAAAATGTGCTTCATTTGATAATTCAGTAAGATATAGCATTTAATGAAACCAGAGGAAATAGATCTGGCTCTGTTATAGGAATTTAGATTAGTTTTTTAATCCAAATTTAAATGAATTCTGGTTTCTTTCTGGCAGTTGGTGAGCATTTTCAGAAATTCATTTCAGTAATATTTATGAATATTTATAAAATTCTTATTATACTTTGCTATGAAAAATTTTGTAAATATGTTAAAATGAACTCCAAAAATTCTCAACTGTTTTATGATATTAGATATTACTGGATAAATTGATCACTAGTATGGTGTTACAATAGTATTATAGAAATTTTCATTGTGACGATATTTAACCTATTTAAGACATGTAGCTTGCTTTTTTGAAGGAAACAATGGGGCAGGTTATAATTTAGCTACTTGGATTATGTGCCAGTAGGTTCTATAAGATTGACATCCTAGGATATCTCAGACAAAATATATCCCAAAGGAAAGATTTAAAAAGTGATTTTTTTTTTTTTTTTTGAGACAGAGTCTCACTGTGTTGCCTGGGCTAGAGTGCCATGGCGTCATCCTAGCTCACAGCAACCTCAAACTCCTGGGCTCAAATAATCCTTCTGCCTCAGCCTCCCAAGTAGCTGGGACTACAGGCATGCGCCACCATGCCCGGCTAATTTTTTCTATATATTTTTAGTTGTCTGATTAATTTCTTTCTATTTTTAGTAGAGACGGGATCTCGCTCTTGCTCAGGCTGGTTTCGAACTCCTGAGCTCAAACAATCCGCCCGCCTCGGCCTCCCAGAGTGCTAGGATTACAGGCGTGAGCCACTGCGCCCGGCCAAAAGTGATTTTTTTTATTCTATTTCATTTAAAATATAAATGTATTTTCTATCCCCTTATATGAAGGGAAATGTTGCACAATCAAACAAAATACTAAGATATTAATACAAGACGCATTCATCACAAAAATCCTATGAGGTATGTTGTTTCCCCCATTTTACAAAGGAAACTGAGGCACGAGTTAATTTACCCAAGGTCACACAGCTGGAGCTGGTATTCAGTTCCAGTCAATGTGGTTCTAGAGTCAGCTCCTAACTGTCATTTTGCCTCTTTGAGCAAACTTGAAATTTACATGAAAGAAACATTGAGATGATCTGTTTCTCTTAAAATTTTAATTATTTCAATTTAGGGATGTCGAACAGTGATAGTTTTGGCTTTTTAAATAGCCGGTTTTAGAGTCTTTAATTACTTACTTAAAGTTTGATATGATTAATAAGACTTGCAAAAAAAAAGCATCAGCCTTCTAAAATTTAGTTGTATTCCTGAGATAGAGAAAATTTCTACTGACTTTATTATGTTAATAACAGTATACTCTGACCCAACAATTCAAAGCACTTTGAAATGAAAGGATGTTATTCACGTTATTGTTCATAATAGTCATAAGTTAAAAACATCCAAAATAATTATGAGTACAAGAAAAGACTGGTTAAATAAATAATGATACATCCACAGTGTGATACTATGCTACCAGCAGAAATGACAAATATATACTAATATAAAAAGATATTTGATATATTGTTTCGTGAAATTCAGGTTATAGAATAGAAAAGTATGGCCCATTGTAAATTTAGTTATATGTAGAGATGCATACTGAAAAGTCTAGAGGGATATTCATCAAAATATTAACTGTGATTATCTCAGGATAATAGGATTACAAATGACTTAATTTTTTGTAATTATATGTATTTCAGTTTTTTACCATGAACATTTTACTTTTATAATCACAAAAAGAAAATGAATTTTTTCCTTAAAGAACAAGAACATATTTCCTAGGAGCAGTATTATTTAGCTTTCATAGCAAATGACATGAAAACTTGCATACACAGATCCAGTACCATAGAATTCAAAAGCAAAAGATAAAAACATTTCAAACAACTCTTTCTTAATTAGCTAAAATAGATTAACACAAACCTTTCTTAGTTTGGGTAAATCTAAGGAGCAAATCATGCTTAGAAGTTATACCATGGCCATCTTCATCTTATTCTCTGTATTTGCCCCTTTGCAGAGGGTGTAGAGCAAATTCAGTGCAGCTGGATGCAGTGAGTGAGTCAGCCATTAACTAAAATCCATTCCCCTTTCTGCTCATCCTTGCTTCTAAAACAGCGCTGTCCAATAGAACTTTCTGCAACAATGGAAGTATTCTCTATCTGTCCAATAAGGTAGCCACTAGCTACATGTAGCTATCAAACACTTGCAATAGGGTTTGTGTTTCAGAGCAATTGAATTTTTAATTTTAATAAAAATTTAAAGAGCTACATGTACCTAGCAGCTGCTTTATTGGTAAAGATAAGGAATGTTTCTAATATTCCTAATAACACAGTGCAGTCTAGAAGACTAAAGTTATGAGCCCCAAATTAAGCTGAGTAAATGATTCCTCTAATTCAGAGATGTCAAATTTAAAATACTAGGAGATATTTGTGTGCTTTTATTATTGTAATTTTTGCCATTGGGGGAACCCAATAAAGTGTCATTGTTTTTGGTAAAGTGAGCCACATTTCTAGTACCAAAAAGTCTTTCTTACTAGGTAATAACTTCTTAGTCATCAGCCTTAAACAATCAGTGATCATGTCCAATTTCATAGTTAGATAAATCCTATTTCTCTGTCTAGTTTTCAGTTATTAACAATTACACTGTACTTTAGGTCATTAAAGGAATCTTCAGAATAAGTGGCCTGGTGAGATGGCCATGATAGATGAGTATTTCTTCCCTGGGCCTCTTTGCCAACTAATAGCTACTTTTCAGATTAAATGCAGACATTTCAACAGGGAAAAATTTTATATATATGTATACATACACACACACACACACACACACACATACACATTCATGTTTCTATACTATGTATTATATAAATTAGATGTGTGTAATATATAAATTATTAATAAAGTTGAATAATGCTCAACCTCAGTAGTCAGAAATACAAATTTAAATATAGTATTATTTTTTAACTATCAAAATGCAAACTTTTCAAGATTTATAATACCTTCTTTTGGCAAAGTAGAGAGAAACTGTTACTCCCATATACTGTAGGTAAATGGATACAGCTATTTAAAAGGCAGTTTAAATCTAACAAAAGTAACATAACATTTCTGCTTCTGGATGCTTGAAATATTCATTCACCAAACACACTCAAAGACACACTGTATATGCTAGCATGTTCACATAGCACTGTTGGTAATTGTATAAAATCAGCAACAGTTTAAATGTCCAGTGGAGGACTGATTTCAGTACATCTTCAGCAATTCAGAGAATAAAGATCTCTATGAACTAATGCAGAAAGATCTCTGAGTCCTATTGTAAAGCGAGTTATAAAACAATACATGTATCTCTTACTAAAACCTATGTTTTATAAGTATGTCTAATTAGCTAAAATAGAGTAACACAAACTTTGCTTAGTTTAGGTAAATCTGAGAAGCAGATCATGCTTACGAGGAGTTTTACCATGGACATCTTCAGCTTATTCTCTGAGGTTGTCCCTTTGTGGGCATAGGGCAGATTCGGTGCAGTTCAATGCAATGAATGAGTCACCCGTCAACTAAAATCCATTTCCCTTTCTGCTCATCCTATATAGAAAAAAAGCCTGCAAGGATACACACCATACTGTTGTGACTGCTGACAGTGGTCATCGCTAGGGAAGAAGAGCAGGTTTGGAGTGGGAAGGTAAAAAAAGCTTTTATCTTTTAAGTTCTTGTTTGAATCTTTGTTTACTCAAATCTTTGTTTACTCATATTCTCATCCTTGCACTTAAATTTAAATTTTTTTAACAAACCCAGATCAGTTTTTCTCAAAATGCTAAAACACTAACTTTTCTCACTGTATATAATTAAGTATATGTACCCCTTTCAGACTACATTAACATGTTTAGATGTATGTTTAATAAATAACATATGTTGATGAAAAGGAGAAAAATTTTATTTCCTTTGTTCAGGTGACCTAAGACTACCATTTCAGAAAACAAAATGAACAGCAACCTGGATTCTATACAGGAAGAGGACACAGGCTTCTCCGCTTTCAGATATGACATTTTACCTTTCATAAATAAATCCAACCCACTCCTAGGAGAGCCACTAGCCACATGAAAGATGAGAATCTGATCACAGATGAGAATCCAAAGAGTCCAGGTACATAGTGTGCACCAGAAAGCTAGTCCCAGGTTCCTCGGAATCTTAGACATACTGTTAGAATCTTAAACTAGCATTCCAGAAAATTCTCAGTCTTATTCTGTAAGATATTTCTACCATTCATGGTGTACCCACATAGATGTCTGTTCCTATACTCCTATGATACTAACTTTCAGAATTTGGGGAACACGATATTGTTAGATCGGTAGCGGAGGGTATGGGTTTTCTAGTCATTACCTACATTTAAATTCTACCCCCTCAGACAAGTACTTGATTGTTAAAAAGAGTTTCCATATCCTCATCTCTAAGATACAGAGTAATATCTACCCTTCTAGGTTACTGAAAAGATTAGCAATAAAGCATATAAAACACCTCAAGCAGTAGTGATCTCTCTACTCAAACATTGATCTGTTTTAAAGTGATTATCAAGAGTCTGACACAGGCATGAAAAGTTTTTATTATCAGCATAGTATAGTATTGAAGGATTTTATCAAGGAATCTTCAAAATATATCCTCCAAGGAGAGCAAGTCTTTTTTATGGGATACATAGATGCAGACCATGCCTAGGAAGGACCTGATCTCCGGTTTTTAGTACCCTTCTCTTTTCTCTCTTCCTCTTCCCTCTCTTTAGATTCAGAAGCTCTTTCCTTAAATCCTAAGGTCCTTTTGTAAGCAGTCCTTACAACTGATCAGTCGAGTGCTGTTTTTTCCTCATTATAAAATGGTTAGACTTTGCCAAGACTTCTGTTTCTTCATAGAGGTTTTCCATTTTTTTCCTCCACATGGCTCTTTTTATCAATTGACTCACATTAGGGGCAGGTCAGTTTGCTGGGGATAAGAAAATGTTGAAAAACACAGCAAATAAGACACAAGCCAAATAAGCAGCAATAGCTATCCAAAACCTTGGGTCTTTCAGCAGTGCTTTATCAAAGCAACTAAACACGGTGTAACCTATGGACATTCCAGCAAATCCACCGGCAATGTGAGCTGCAAAGGACACCTTTGGAGAAAAGGGGAGAAAATGGAAATAAGTGAAGAAAATGCTAATTGCATGTTTCAGTTGCATTTCTCTTACTCAAACACAAATACCATCACAGTCAAACAGGAGTCCTAAAAATCTGGAGAACCAGGGGGTTAGGCTAAAGAGACACAAAACTCCATGTGCACAGAGAAGAAATGCTCTATAACATGCAAAGCTAAATCATTTTCACCCATTCTCTGAGTACACAAGACGGAGCCATTGTTTCTCATTCTTCTTGATCATCAGTGCATTTAGGATGGTTCTATATAATGCCAACCAAGAGAATAGGAGTTGAGTCACCCTAAGGGATTTCTATAGAAACATAATCTGATCCCACATGAGATGTCAGAATTAAAACACAAGTAATAACGTACACACAAATACTCAAACAGAAACTACCAAATTCAAATTCAAAGACTAATCCCAGAAAAACTGGAAATCTTTTTTTTTTTTTAAAGCCAGTCAAATTTAGCAGTGGGGGGTTGAATACCAACTTTAGTGACATTAATGTTAATAAGTTCTGATAACCCACTACCATCGGACCAGCCAAAACTGGAAATCTTTGTCCTTTTTATCACAAATTTATATGGACCCAAATTTTCATTGCTGTTTTTCCAATCCACTTTTTATTGTCTGTGAACAGGGCTTCTCTCCTATTGTGGAATAGCTAGCAACATGGCAGGTGCAGTGGAGTTGAGCACATTGGTCAGGGATATGAAAGAGTTAAGTGAAAAGGACGATCCAAAAGTCTGATTTCCTTAAGAATTTTCTTAACTTCCAAATGGAAATCTGACTGCCCTAAATCACAGAGTGGTAGTCCCTATTTGATGCCCCTTTTTGATGGGTAAATTCAAAAAGGAAGAAACCGAACTCACCGCAGACCCATTTGCAGGGACAAAGAACCTTCTGTAGAGAGCAAATCCCATGTCTGATGCAACTAGAAGGAGAAACACCCTGATGAAGCCCCAGGATCTCCGCAACAGTAAGCCAAATGTTTCTGGTTCCCATAATAATAATAATAGCTAACATTTATTGAGACTTACTCAGTGTCACGTGCTGTCCTAAGCTCTACATGTATTAACTCATTAATCCTCATGACAACCCTATGAAGTAGATACTATCCCATCTTATAGATTTATTCATCCAGGTATTTACTGACCATCTTCTATGTGCCAGGCATTATTCTAGGTGTTAGATACAGAGCAGTGGACAGATGAGACAGCACTACCTCATGGAGCTAAGAGTCTCCTGGATGGGAGGCAAACAAGCAAGTAAAACATACAGTTTTACCGTCAAATGGTGCTAAATGCTATGGAGAAAATACAAAGAGAGGAAAAAGAACTGGGAATGCCACGTATAGGATGTGATTTTTTAATAGGAGGGTCAGGAAGGATCTGTCTGAGAATATGACATTGGACAGAAATAAGGGAGCAAGCCATGCTGATATTTGAAATAAGAGTCTTCCAGGGCCGGGTGCGGTGGCTCACACCTGTAATCCTAGCACTCTGAGAAGCCAAGGCGGGAGGATCGCTCCAGGTCAGGAGTTCAAGACCAGCCTCAGCAAGAGCAAGACCCCCATCTCTACTAAAAATAGAAAGAAATTAGCCAGACAACTAAAAATATATAGAAAAAATTAACCAGGCATGGTGGCGCATGCCTGTAGTCCCAGCTACTCAGGAGGCTGAGGCAGAAGGATTGCTTGAGCCCAGGAGTTTGAGGTTGCTGTGAGCTATGCTGGTGCCACAGCTCTCTATCCAGGACAACAGAATGAGACTCACTCAAAAAAAAAAAAGAAACCAAGACACTGAGGCTCCACTCTCATCCATGATGCTAATTGCCTCTCATTACCATCAGGAGTACTGAAGGTGGGCCATACAAGGACATTCTCCAATAGAACCATGAGAGCCAGAACTTAGACATTCTTTAAATAAATCAGATCTGTGCTGCAAAAGGAGCTTCCGGTTTCTTGGCCTAAAAGAACTCTGCCCTACATGTAGGGTGCTTAGAAACATCTCTTGCAGACAGCACATTCCACACCCATCCCCCAGTTCCCTGTGTTCTACTTAGTGAGCCACTGTGTCCTAGGAGATGGAAAGGCCTAGTCCTTGCCTTTGGGAAAATAGCATCAGGATCACGTGTTCTGGCTAGTTCCCCTTTCAATACTGTATTGATGTTGAGGTCACTGGACAGAAATTGAGGTCGAGGAAGTACTCAATATGAATTTCATTGTAAATGACTATCACACAAAGTGCTGGATAAATGAGGCTGTATCATATTTTCAATTCGTTGTGTTTCCTGATCCAGTGTAAATAATATACAAATAGGACTATGAAAGTACAAGAAAACCACTGCCAGAGAACAGGGCAGACTTACCTGTAAACTGTTGTTTTGGTCTGGTCTTCCACAACAGGCGGCCTCCTCTCAAAAAAGTCTTTGTAACCATTAGCGTGTCAATATCTGGTTTATCTTGACCCCTTCCTACATCTCTGCCTGGCTCTTTCCTCTTTCTGCTTCCCAGGGGAGTTTGCTTCTGGGCTGCTGCAGCCTCTAAACTCAAACATAGCTTCCTCACCTGAAAAGCCCTTATTCCAATAAACCAAACCATTGTGCTCATTAAAAATTTGACATTCATCTTAAGAGAATTGCCTTTATATAGATTTCGTAAAGGAAGAAAATGTGAGATTTCTTTAACTTTTCCCAAAGGAAAGCTCAGTTGCTTAGTTAGAAAACACTTGCCTAAAATAATGCTTGATGAAGGAAGATCCTTAAGACCAATTGTCCTTCAAAATTAAGAAGACTATTTGCCATTTAAAACAAAACTAGGCTGGGAGCGGTAGCTCACACCTGTAATCCTAGCACCACTCTGGGAGGCTGAGGCGGGAGGATGGTTTGAGCTCAGGAGTTCGAGACCAGCCTGAGTGAGATCCCGTCTCTACTAAAAATAGAAAGAAATTAGTTGGACAACTAAAAATATATAGAAAAAATTAGCTGGGCATGGTGGCGCATGCCTGTAGTCCCAGCTACTCGGGAGGCTGAGGCAGAAGGATTGCTTGAGCCCAGGAGTTTTGAGGTTGCTGTGAGCTAGGCTGATGCCATGGCACTCTAGTCCAGACAACGGAGTGAGACTCTGTCTCAAAAGAATAAAAATAAAAATAAAAAAATCTAAACTGGTATACATGTTTCCAAGGAAATGTGTTTCAAATAAAAATGTATTTGTATTTTATTAATCTGATGTGAGTCATAACTCTCCTCATTTTCAATAGGAGGTGAACGAGGCCAAAGAAGTTTTGGAAATGACATGTGCCAAGAATTGAGGCAAGTTAATGCTAGCATGTCCTGCCTCCTCAGTGAGATGTTTGTAGGATATAATAAAAGCACATCATTCAGTGATTTTATTACTTATTTTAAGAATGACATAATATTACACAAACTATCTTTTGAGATACCCTGGGCATGAGGAAAGAGTTTTCACTCCAACATTGAAGAGTATTAAAGAAGTATATTAAAATCATTTTCCCATTATGGGTATAGGGCTTATTTTATGAAAGTCACCCATAATTACCTAAAAGAAGCAGATTGACTGAAGACTCAGGTAACTTGTGTCACATTTTTTTTGTCAAATGATTCGTCCCTTGGTCCTGGTTGTGACTCTTAACAAATCAGGAGGTAACCCTGCTCCTGCAGTGACTCTCTTGTCACCCAGATACTTGCTCTCCCTTCTCTGCTGACAATTTTCCCTTATCTTTTGGATGTCTTGTGGAGAAAAAAGATTATCTACAGTATGGTATAAGCTATGAACAAGTGAATTATTTATATCAGGATGAAATATTGGTGTTTGTACAAATAAATGGTTCATAAACTAAATTTAGTCTATTTTCACAGAGGTAGCTACCTCTGTTCTCATAATGTGGATAATTGAGCTCTTGATACCAATTGGCAAAATCATTTTTTCTTCCTATGTGGACAGCCAGAATCTTAGGCTTTATCACATAACCTCTGCCTTAGCTTTCAAGTCTGACCCCAGGGTGTGGCTGTCTCCCCACAGCTCTCGTGTGGGCACAGCTTCACCTGGAGCAGGTCCATAAACACAAGTGACTGTCCCACCTCTGTTCTCGTTCTCTTCTACCTTGTTAGGGCCTGCTGCCATCCAGAGTCCCCCCTTACATTCAGACTCAGCTAAACTTCCACCGCCCTCTCCTCATCCTTCCTAAACTCCTTCAGCTTGAAGTGCTGGAATTCTCGGAGATTAGTCACCCCCCTAGTTTCTGGGCCTCTCAGTTCCTAGACCCTCCACTCTCTCATCATCAGTCCTCAACCACCACTCCATGTTTGTGTACTAGATCAGTTTTGTCTTCTTCATCTGAAAATTCAGAAATTGAGGAAGAAGACAGATCATATCAGTGGTTTCCAAGCTTTCCCTTTGCAGGAAAAAAAAAATATATATATATGTATATATAGATTCCAATATATGAAAGAGAAAGTCCAGTATACAAAACATAAGCGAAGATATTGTGGCTGAAGCAGAGGGAGTGCCTAAGCCCTATTCCCTTGGCTTCCCACACTTCAGAAAGACACAAAAAGCAAAAACATCATGTAGCCACGTCTAAGAACTACCCCTAAAGGTCTGTGAAAACTCCTCCATCTATCCCTTTCTGCGTAAGGCCAGAAGGCTGACAATTCTTTCCGACTCTAGGCTAGCAATAATCTTATCATCTTCCGCGTTAGTGTTTGGGAAATGTTAAAAGGCCTTCTGAAGGCTGAACCAATAAAATTGAAGGTATTATCAAAGTTGATTATGTGAAATGGATCATTCTTATCAAACCCAAATAAATCAGACTTGAGGGGCCGAGGGCAAAAGAATTCAGGGTACATAGCAAAGCTCCAATAATTGAATTCTCTGCAAGCCCAGCTGCTGAAACTACCTGCTATAACCTTAAGACCAGTTTTACCTAATGGCTGCTGAAATGACCCACCACAACTTTAAGACTGTTTCTTCCTGCCACCATCACTCACCAGTCACAGCTTGCTGGCTCTCAAAAGCTGCTCTAGTGCCAATAGTCTTTCTTTCAAAACAATATATAACATACGTCTTTCTAATAAAACTCCCAGCCTTTTCTTCCTTCTTTGGAAATACCAAAGACCACCCAGGTCTGTGTGTATGCCCCAAATTTCAATTCAGTGATTCCAAATTTAAAACGTTTCATTTACAGATTTGTCTCCATATTTTATTTTGACTTCAACAGTATAAAGTGTTCCCACAACACACTTACTTATAAGGATGATGATCAGTAGTCTGACAATTCCAAAGGCAGGAATCATTTCTCGAAAATTCTTGCAAAGAGATAAATAATAATCATAAAAGCTATCTATTGGTAAGTGAAACCCCACTACTACTCCCTCTTCAGCTGCCTTTCATTTAAAATAACGTTTGAGTTTACAGTATTTGCAAACCAAAGCATGAGTGTAACAGCCAGGCTTCCAAATGTATTTGGAAAGTACAATGCTAGTATACTTTGGAGAACAGAATGAAACATGATGTTTAGTTTCATGGTATAAACTAGACAACAATTTATTAGATGATGATAATCTAAATACAAGTAATATAAAATCAACACTTAACATATCAATAAATAAATAGATAAAATCCCGGCAGGGTGGCTCATGCCTGTAATTCCAGCACTCCCCAGAGGCCAAGGTGGGAGGATCGCTTGAGGCCAAGAGTTTGAGAACAGCCTGGGCAACATAGCCAGAGACCCTGTCTCTACAAAAAATTTAAAATTAGCCAGAGTGGCGGCTCACATCTATAGTCCTAGCTATTTGGGAGGCTGAGGCAGGAGGACCACTTGAGTATAAGAGTTGGAGGTTGCAGTGAGCTATGGTCATGCCACAACACTCCAGCCTGGGCAACAGAGCAAGACTCTGTCTCAAAAAAAAAAAAAACGAAATATTTCCAAGCTTTTTTTGTTAATATTCATTTGATACCTTTTCATCCTCTTTCACAGTAGTAGTTAGCAAAGACTTAACTAAAATTTAAGTATTACCTGTATTTTTTGAGATAATTTCAAAAGTATTGAAAATATTGGTCAAAAACCATTGTTTGATTTTAGCTTTGAAAATTTTCAGTCTATCTTGCAGTATACACTTATGTGTCACTAGAGAACTGCTGAGTCAGACATTTCTACTTTAATTTATTGAGTTACTTCTCCCTTCCCTTTCAAATTATTACTCTCTTCCCAAGGAGTAAAGATGCTGAAATAGGCATATTTATTCTAAATCAATTATTTTCAAATTCTTGTGACCATGCCCTATAGTAAGAACTTATTTGCATAACAACCCAGTACACACATAAATCAACAGTACTTATCCTTATTACATGTGGTACAGATACACACTGATTTTTTTTTTTAATTTTGTTTAATTTTTGGCAGCAATCCCTTAAACTGAGTTCATATCCATTCATGGGTTACAATGCAAAGTTTAAAAACCATTTTTATAAGTGATTTCTATGTTTGGAATAGTTTTATAATTGCTTGACATTTTTCTTACTACAGTATTTTTAAAAGTATGCCCAAAAGGTTAAAGGGTTAAGAACTAATCAGGATTTTAGCCTGTTTTAAAAAGTGGTTGGCATTCTCGCATACTATCATGAGAGTGTAAAATGAAATGCCACCTTTAGAGAGCAATTTGGCGTATCCATATAAAAATTTAAAGCCTTTTTTTTTAGACAGGGTTTCACTCTGTCACCCAGAGTGGAGTACAGTGGCATGATCAGAGCTCACTGCAGCCTCAAACTCCTGGGTTCAAGCAATTTTCCTGGCTCAGCCTCCCTTGTAGCTAGGACTGCACCATGCCCAGCTAATTTTTTTATATTTTGTAGAGACAGGGTCTCGCTATGTTGCCCAGGCTGGAGTGCAGTGGCCATTCACAGGCAGGATCATACTGCACTGCAGCCTCAAACTCCTGGCCTCAAGCGAGACTACAGGCACACACCACCGTGTCTGGCTTTCAGTAAATATTAATAAATGACAATTCCCTGAACCAAATAACAGTTTTTGTTTGTTGTATTTTTTTTTAATAAAAAGCCCATAGACTTCATCTCCGAAGTTCTTACCACTAGAACATTCATAAAATAGCCTCCCATCAGAGCATAGACTCCTCCTGAAGCACCCACTAGGGATTTGAGTGGGTCAAATATGGAGCTGGCAAGGGATCCTAAAGAAATAAAACACAAAGAATCAGACATGACTGTAAGAATATGCAAGATAAATTTTTCTAATCTAAGATAAAAATTTGGGAAGTTTGGTCCATTATCATATTAACAAACACCAAATTCTTTTTATCCCTTTCATACTTGTAGAAGTACAGCTATGTAAGCTAAGTACTACAATTTTTCTGAAACATGAAATGTTCATTAGAAAGCAGTTTAACAATAACAAGAGCACAGACTCTGGAGCCATAATTACCAGCTGTGTGACTTCAGGAAATTATTTAACCTCTCTGTGCCTCAGTTTCCCTACCTACAAAATAGAGCTATTAATAGAACTTACCGCAATGGATTACCAGGGGAAGTAAATAAATTGATGGATGTATTGTGCTTAGAATGCTGCCTAACATGTAGTATATACTTGTTAGCTGTTGTTTCAAAATATCCTACGTGTTTAGTCAAACCGATCAAAATACCTGAGACATTCCAACATTTCATTATCTAAGGTCTATCTTTCTCAATGAGCCATGATGTTGCCTCATAATCCTTCTCAACATACCATTCAATCAGATTCCCCAAGCAAGATGAATCCCGTTTTCTAACCCAATCCTAGATTTCCTGGGCCAAAACAAGACTTTATAGACCACCTTATACAAATGGAAAGATGTTCTCTCTGTACCACTTAGTTCTATCACGTGGTCTCTTCCTTTCAAGGCCCTCCTTCATTCCTTAGGATACAATACAATAAAATACCTACTTTGTGCAAGAAGGACAAAGTGTCTATTCTTAGGAATCTTATAAATAGTGGAGCAAACAACTATTATAAAATGGGGAATATAACCACTATTATGACTAAAATACAATAAATTGGTTGTACAAGCACTTAGGAAGGAATGACTTTCTCAGAAGAAGAGTGGAACCCCTGCTACTGTGAGGAGAAGGAGATAGCATTTTGATTAAACTTGGAAGAATGGGGGGGCGAGCAAAAAACAAAAAAAAAATTAAAAATAAACTTGGAAGAATCTTCAAGATTTGGATAAGGAAAACAAAGGAGAAGAAGGTATTCAGGACTTAGGGAGCTGAAAAAGCAAAGACATGGAAACAGAGGTATATGGATGACTGTAGATCTATGAGAAATAGTATGAGAACAGTGATTCTCAAATGCTAACCTAGAGTCTAGGGTTGGAGTGGTTGTATCATAATCACATGAGAAATTTATTTTTAAAATACAGATGCAAATGTCCGTTTCTGGCAATGATGGAATAACAAGAATGGGATTTACCTTCCTATTTGAAAAAGCCAAAAGCACTGGACAAAATATATGAAACAATGGCCTTCAAGATACTGGACATCAGACAACAAAGAACAGTGAACCCTGAGAGACAGGAAATAAATTAGATGAGTTGTCTCCAATGAAGAGAGAATTCAGGTACAGAAAAAATATTTGAAGAAATTATGATTGAATTTTTTCCAAAGTTTGATGAAAACTATAAACCCACAGATCCAAGAAGCTCAACAAACCCCAAGCACAAGAAACACGAAGAAATGTATACCAAGGTACAACAAAATCAAATTATTCAAGACCAGTGAAAATCTGAAAAGCAGCCAGAGTAAAAAGACATGTTTCCCACTAAGGAACAATGATAAGGATGATATCAGCTTTCTCATTGAAAACAATACAAGTGAGAAAACAGTGGAGCAATATCTTTAAAGTATTGAAAGAAAAATACTATCAAGCTTATTTCTACACCTAGTAAAAATATCTTTTAAATATGAAGATAAAATAAAGATTTTTGTTTTCAGATACAGAAAGGCTTGAAAGAATTGATGACCTGCAGACCCATACAACAAAAAATGTTTTATGAATGTTCTAGTGGTAAGAACTTTGGAGATGAAATCTATGGGCTTTTTATGAAAAAATCCTAGCACTTTGGGAGACTGAGGCAGGAGGATCTCTTGAGACCAGGAGTTTGAGATCAGCCTGGGCAACATTGTGAGACTCGGACTTTACAAAAAAAAATGTTTTTTAATTAGCCAGACATGGGATTTTGCTCCTATAGTCCCAGCTACTCGGCAGGCTGAGGCAGGAGAATCATTTGGGCCCAGGAATTTGAGGTTGCTGTGAGCTATAATCCCACCACTGCACTCCACCCTGGGCAACTGAACAAAACCTCGTCTCAAAAAAAAAAAAATTATTTTTACTTCATTAATGGCATAAAAAAACTTTTCAATAAA